AGAGGGCCTTATAAATTAATAAAAAATTCAAAAAATTAGAAAACCTTAGAAACCCACCTTTGTTTGTGCAATAGATCATGTGTGCCAAAGTTGAGGTCATTTGGAGGTGGTCGAAAAAATGACCGCATTCCGGAGGGGCCATTTGGTCTAACTTAAGTCAGTATTTGAAAAAATTTGATTTTTCCCACCACCTCCAAATCACACAAACTTTCTTGAACATGGTGACCCACATGTGCCAATCATGGCTATGAAAGAAAATTTGGAAAAAGAATATTTTACAATGCCCCCCTGAGGTATAGACCGATGTTTTGACCAATCAGTCTAGAAGGCCTTATAAATTAATAAAAAATTCAAAAAATATAAAAAAAATTATTAGATGATTTGAAGGTCAAAACATTAACTTGTCATATATGCAAAAAAATATGTGTATTGAATGCAAGTGAGCATGTGTATAATTTAGTGTGATTTTACAATGCCCCCCCGAGGTATAGACCGATGTTTTGACCAGTCAGTCTAGAAGGCCTTATAAATTAATAAAAAATTCAAACAATTTCAAAAAAAATATTAGATGACTTGAAGGTCAAAACATTAACTTGTCATATATGCAAAAAAATATGTGTATTGAACGCAAGTGAGCATGTGTATAATTTAGTGTGTGATTTCAAGATCAAATCAATACACAATGGTAATATACCAAAAAAAATTGCCCACCTACCAGAGCAGAAGAATTCATACTCCACGGACTGCATGCGACTAGGAACCCTGCTGTGCATGGGCCAGGATGCAGGCCCGTGGTGCAGAATATCTCTGCTACTAGTAGGCCCCACGGGGCAGAGGGTACAGAGTTAGGCAATGTACTGCCTGCAATTGATAGGAGCTTGTGAGGGGAGTCGCAGCCGGGTATATAAAACGGTCCGGCGCTCTCTCGCTTAGCGAGGTGGGACTAAACTCCCACCACCCAACGGCTATGCGCTGCGATGTGCCCTGCGCGGCTTCGCCTTGGGCCCAATTCGGGCGGGCCGGCCCAGGGCAGCCTTACTCCGCTCGCTGATACGTTATATATTTTCTTTGTTTCTTTTCTTGTTTATATTTCTAATATTTCAAATCAAGAGTCTTTTTTTCTATATTATTTCTAATAGTGTTTACTAAAATCCATGACTCCGTGACTGATAATCTCTCTGACCTAAAATCTAGAAAAGCTTTGGTGGGAGACAGCTATGGACTAAGTTGATTGAGCTATGTGATAATTTTTCCCTGTCTGATGCTGAAGACAAACTTTCTTGGCTACTTGCTAGTTCAGGTGTTTTTAGTGTGAAATTTTTCTATTCTGCTATGATAAATGGGGAGCAAAGCTCCCAATAGATTCCTTTGGGAAGTTAGAATTCCACCTAGAATTAGAACTTTTCTCTGGTTAGTCTTGAAACAAAGCATATTGACTAGAGATGTTCTGTTGCATAGAGGAGGAAGCTGTGAACCTGAATGTCTTTTGTTGGGGTAAAAATGAATCAATCAATCATCTTTTTTTAGTGTCCCCTGGTTAGATACACTTGGAACATAGTTAGTTGCAGCCTGGGAATACATTGTGTTTCTATGACGCAAATGCTTGTTTTAATGTTTTCCTAAAAAAAATGGGATCTGTGAATAACCAGCTCTTCTCTGTGGGTGTTGCTCCAGTAATTTGGAGTATTTGGAAAGCTTGTAATTTGGCTTGTTTTCAGAAAAAGTGGCCATCTAAGACAAGTACTCTTCTTCTCAAAGTTTCATATTGGATTAATGATTGGAGTATCTTGCAGGGGCAGGAGGACGCAAAACTGGGCCTGCAGCGGTGCACAAAGCTCGTGGAACATGTCGCGGCTGAAATCTTTCAAGCCAGAGCAGTTGGGCATCGTGGATACCCAGATTAGATGATGGTTGATCTGGCGATTTTTCCAGGGAGAAGAACGATTTGCTTTGTTAGCTGCTCAGTAGCGCTGGAGGCAAAATAGTATTAACTTTCGATGTAATATAAAAACGGGAGTGTACCAACTTGATAGGGGGGCTTTACCTGGGCTCTGTCAGCGATGTTTAGGGTGTTTTTAGGTGCGAGGTTTAAGGTTTTCATGGTGGTTGTGCGTTTTGGTTTTCATAGACTCGTTGGTTTCGTTAATGAAATCAGGGGAGTCATCCCTTTTATTAAAAAAAGAAGCTTTTGTTAGCCACCATTTACTCTGTAATCTCTTTTGAAGACGAGATGATTATATAATAAAGATAAATACATGAATTAGGATTAAAAAGAAATATATTCAAGCACTAAATTCTGGTGTCAGTGTCTAGTTCAGTCTGTCGACATCCAATGGTGAGATTGTTATCTAACCCCTGAATCTATGGTTTCCTCTGTACATACTCTCATATATGTGGTACGTGGATCATTGACACATGTTTGTACAAGTGGAACCACAAATGGAACATGTTCGAACAATTATGCTTTTAGTGGAAAGGACTATGACCAAAGAAAAATCAAATCAATAAAATGAGTCCTTTTTAAATAAGAAGATTGATGCTCATATCGCGGAGTTCATAAGTATCTAAGCTATATTTTCTCCTTTCCAAAATACAAATGATAGTGCATATAGATTTCCTTTATAAGAAAAGTGAAGCTTTCTACACTTTGACTAAGTTCGTTGATACAAAGATTTACTAAATATTATCGTTAGATACAAACCAATCAACAATAGATACATTGTCAAATTTTTTTGTACTATATTTATTTGGTCTTATTAATGTTGATGCTTTTCCCTGCAAACTAGGACAAACTTTACGTTTAACTTTGGAATTAAAAAAAGGCAATTCTATAGTGCGAAACGTTCCGCACTTGTTCTTCTAGCGCGACGTGTGCATCTTTTGATTTGCCGAGCGGCCACACCCATCCATGATTGTGATGCTATAATGATGTCAGCAACACATTATTGATGCGGTGTCATGCGATACTATGCCACACACTATAGTGGAATATGTAAAATTGTACGCACTATATTTTCAGAAGGGAGTACAAGATAGAACAAGCTGTCATTGTCGAAATCAGCTAATCGAACAAGCCAGGGAGTTGGCTATTGGGACCTCCCGACATCTTTACGGTTCTTCCACCCGCATATTGAACATATTCAACGATGCATGTGTGTAGACTACTTAGAAGGTTCCCTCGTCTCTTTCATAGACTAATAAGTTAAAGCGGATATTATCTTTTAATTAGATCACCTGACAAGGATCAACTTTCCACCTGTCGAACATATATAACCATACCGGTCTAATCAAGTCTCTAATTCCTCCGTTTCCAAATATTTGAAGTTCTGTGTTTGCAAAATTTCTTTAAGTCAAGAATATACAACATATTGAACGACGCATGCATTAATTTGCTACTTGAAACTGTGAAGTTAACATTTTTTTTTGTTTTGTTTTAGACCAAACCGATACTATCTACGTCTGTCGGGCTGGCATACACATGCCGGTGCTGCCTTCTTGCATGAACAACTTCCAAGGGAACAAGCACATAATGGTGCTGCACGGCACAAGTATTTCGATGACTGCCCGCGCAGATCTGACCGGTGCGTGTCAAAGAATATTAAGCGTTAGACTGGGTATCCTTCCCTGATCGATGTTTACTTTTCTCTGCTTGTTGAAAAACTATACTGGGTCCTTGATGTAGGTGTCAGCCATGATGCCATCGATCAAGCGCAGCTGGATCACCTATAAATCCATGGTGCCCGCTGTCTCTCATCTGCGCAAAAATTAAATTCGCGGGCGAAACCGACGCTCGACTGGAGAGCCTTCCTTGAGCTATGTCCGTTTTCCCCCGATCTACCGCTATGGCCACGATCGGTGCGCGAGATGGCGTTAAATGGCTTAGCGGTCGGGGTCGTTCCAATTTCCCGGGAATGGCTCATTTCAGCGGGCCGAAGCAGGGGGCCAGACAAATCTCAACCCAAATTTACTCCGATAGACCAACTCGTCAAGGAAACCTAGCTTTGTTCTATCCCCATTCCCTTCTCTCCCCCCCATCCGAAAAGCTTGCGGCGGCTCGGCGGCTTGGCACAGCTGTGCTCGGCGGGCCGGCGGTTGTTTCGCTGCAAGCCGAAGGCAGCGACGGGCGAAGCGGCAAGACGGCGACCGGGGCTCCAGGCAGCAAGCTGCGACCCACAACAAGGGGCCTCTGCACCACGATGTCGTCTCAGCCGGTTCCAACTGCCAGTCCATCAACAACAGGTAAAGGCACGTTTCTCTCTGTCCGCTTGCTGATTCAGTAACACTAGTACTGAACTCATCATTTTCCTGTATGGACAAAAGGTTATTGCTATCCGGGCGATAGTGGGTTTGAGGAGGTATTGGGGTGACAGAAGCTAACTTTCTCCTTCTCTGACATCTTGATAGGGTATTACCGGAGACGGTCTTTATTTATGTCCACAAGGTGACCCTTCATCATCGTTGCCGAAACCTGAATGTGGGGAGGAACGGTGAAGGCATATGTGATATATGGCTGTTGCGTGTATGCACATATTTGTACTGGGTTTCGCCCACTTGTAGAAACAAGTAAAGTGGCTTAGAGATCCGGACCTAGAACTATGGATTAGCATAGGTCACCATAGATGCATACTATTCCCCCTATTAATTTCAAACCTTTATTATTCTCTTGCTCCTTTTTACTTTAATCTTGCACTTTTATTTTAGTCACCTATTACTTGCTTTAATACAAACCTCCGTATGCTAGTGGCATACTTGCTTGCTCCGACTAGCGTCTAGAAGCTTGACCATAATTTCCAATTCCACCAAATATTTCATCTCTATGCACGTAGGCCTTTTGAACCTTCTAGCAGAACAACAATATTGATTCATTGTATTGGAGTTAAAGACTCTTAGAGGAATAAAATATAATTTTAAAAGCAAGGAAAGTAACTCTCAAGAAGTCATGACTTCTAACAATAAAAAACATGACAAAAGAAAATCCAAATCAATAGAAACGAGCGCTTGCTAAATAACAAAGTGATGTTCATTTATCGCCCCGAGTCCAGAAGTCCCTAGGCTATAAAAGGTAGAAATGAGAATGCTAAGCAAGCTGTCATTGTCAAAATCATCAACTTTCCATCTGTCAGGCTGGCATACACATGCACTACAACGCCGGTCTAAGTGTCTAACTAGTGTGGCCGTCAGCCATGATGCCATCCATGGATGGGAGCTGGCCGGATCTCCTATAAATCTCATATGTGCTGCCTTGTCTTGCAGATAGAACACGTACCTCCATGGACGACAACATGGTCCCTGGAGAAAGCGAGGTGGTGTGCGTCGACTTCTGGGCCAACCTGTTCGGCATGCGGGTTCTGATCGCGCTGCGCGAGCTAGGCGTGTCGTTCGAGTACATCGAGGAGGACCTCCGCGTCCGCGAGAGGAGCGACCTGGTCCTGCGCATGAACCCGGTGCACCGCATGGTGCCCATCCTCATCCACCGTGGCCGTCCCATCTGCAACTCCATCAACATCCTTGAGTACATCGACGAGGTCTGGGGTCACCGTCATGCCGAAGCAGGTGGAACACAGTTGCTCCCTGCCGACCCGCTGGAGAGGGCTTCCGCCCGGTTCTGGGCCGATTTCGTTGACCACAAGGTCTGCGACTAAACGCACGTCCTTCCTGACAACAATTTTGTCTTGTTTATTTCATGCTCGCTGCATTGGCTACAAATATTTACTTGATCATATACACCACTTCTTTTTTCCAGACAAATTCGTTTTACTAATGCAATTTCTCAAACTTTCATGCACACACAAAATATCTACGCTGAAATGAACATGCTTGTTCAGTTTACTCATCCTTTTCTCTGATGAATTATTTTACCCAGGTGTTCAACACGGAGATGAGGCTGTTCAAGAGCAAAGGTGATGGTGAGAAAGAAGCCGCAAAGGGGGAGCTAATCCACCAAATCAGGCAACTCGAGGGCGTGCTTGGAGACAAGAACTTCTTCTCCGGCGATGAGTTCGGATTTCTGGACATCGTCATCATCCCGTTATCGAGCATGTTTCGAGCGTACGAACAACAAGGAAAGTTTGTTCTTGAGGTGGAGTGTCCCAAGCTGATGCGGTGGGAGAAGCGGTGCAAGGAGAGGGAGAGCGTCAAGAGTACTCTTCCAGATGAGGAGGAGGTGTACAGGATGCACAAGAAGTGGTACGGCATAGAGTGAAGTGAGCCATAGATTGTGCTCAAAACCTATCATGCTTGTAAACTTGAATAATACTCCATCTATTATTGTGTGACACAAAAAAACTAATACACTATGGGACGTGTCAGTGTACCTAAGTACAGGTAAACAAACAAAATATAGGGAAACTTGTACTTTTTTTATTAATCTCTCATCGAGCAAACAAAATTAGATTATCCTTTTACATATGTGCTTTGTGCTCTTCTGGGGTAATCGATATGCCTTGGGCGAATGTGTGTTCTTGTTCATGGGGCATCGGAAAGCTCCCAATTAATTACGTCCGCAAGTCGAAGTTGCGGACAATTTCCGAATAAGTTGCTTCAATGGTAGTCATGTTCAACTTTTAACTTTCTATTTAAACTAGCACGGTGGGAGGGCATCGTGTTTATTTTGTGATGTCCAAATCAATTCTCACTTTTCCCTTATTGCAAAGAAGGATTCTCATTTTCCCATGTACTTTATATGTGCTTGTATATAATAATCATGCCTAAAAACATGAAACTTCATATGAATATATGTCTGGTACGGTGCTTAATTTGTTATAAAGATCTTTGATTGCTTATGAAGTTAATAAAAGAAATTTACCCTTGTTGAGATGTAAGCCAAAAACTACTTCCTCCTATTTATTTGCCCCATTCTAATACGCAATGTTTTAGACATGCAACATACAAAATCTCAAAATATGCAACTTTGACCCTTACTATTTTTGTATATGAATACATTATAGAAAATTAGAAAAAAAATTGAACCAAAAAAAATCAGTGAACCAACTGGTGGTTGGACGGTTGGTTGGACAGTGGTCTCCCCAACCCACCAGGTTCAAGTCCTGGTGCTCACATTTATTCCTGAATTTGATTCAGGATTTCTGGTGATGCACGTTCAGTTGGGGGAGACATTCCCATTGACTACGAGACACCTTTGGTGACTTCGTCAATCTCAAAATGAATGTCGGCTCAGTCTCTCGGAGGTGCTCATAGGGGTAGGGTGTGCGTATGTTCATGGGATGAGTGTATATGCGTATATATGAGCGCCTGCTTTTGTACTGTATTAAAAAATTACCCAAAAATAATAATCAGTAAATAAATTGATGTCCATATATTGCACTTATCCAGAAGTCCCTAGGCTACACAGGGTAGAGATGAGTTTTTAAACAAGTTCTCATAGTCTAAATTAGGTACTCCCTCCGATTCAAATTAATTGATGCAATGTTGCATCAATTAATTTGAATCGGAGGGAGTAGTTAACTAATCTCAATCCAATTGGAATACTCAAACAAGCCAGGGAGTGGGTTGTTGGACCTCTTTACACATTTACGGTTCGTCACATGCGTTTGGTACTTGGAAGGCTCCCTGATCTCTCTCAAGCATGGAGTTAACCTTTTATTGAAAAAAAAAGACTTTCCATGTGTTGCGCATACACATACATATATACCAAATAATTAGTGTCGATCTATGTGTCTCACTCGTGTGGCCGTCAGCCATGATTCAATTGAAAGGGAGCTGGAATGCTGGATCTGTTGTTACACTCATATTTACTGTCTTCTTGAACAAATTCCAAGGGCACACTATGGGTTATTTCCATGTCCGATACCTTTAGCTGCTAGCAACTAACCAACTACTACTCTACCAGAAATAATAAACACAAAAATTACCGGCACACATTCACTGACTTCATGTCAGGTGACATAGGGCCACTAACATGTGGGCCAGCTGACTTTCGATCCCACATGCTAGTGGCCCCAAGTCACCTGACGTTAAGTCAGGTCATCCCAGCCGAGAAATTACTATTGTAGGTGCAACCATATAATAGTTGGCAAGATGTTATACTTCATTAGCATACTTGAACCAATAAAATACACACCTCGCTGAGGTGTCATGTACTTGCAAGTTTGTACACATCCATACATAGGTAGTCCTAAAGTTCTTGGGCTAATAGTCTCTCAGTTTCAAAATTATAATGTTTACAGATTTTGTAAAGTTTAGCCAAGTTAACAGAGAAATATCAAACTTGGTCAAACTTTACGAAATGTAATTATCGAATAGAAATACACACACTATATTTGCTTCCAAGGGAGTACCAGGCAGGAATAGCAATTTTAAGCAAGTTGTCATTGTCGAAATCAGCTAATTAATTCTTAATTAAGAAATCTAGTTGGATTGCAACACTCAAAGTAGCCAGGGAGCGGGCTGTTGGGACCTCCTGTACCTTTATGGTTCTTCGACCCCGACATATTGGACTTACTTCACGACGCATGCGTTTGCTACTTGGAAGGTTCCCCTCATCTCTCTCATATGTTAACTTTTTGTTCATTTAGACTTACTAAATGGATATCTTTTAGGTCACGTCATAGAGGCGGACTTTCCACATGTCAGGCAAACACATACATACACAACAATGCCGGCCTAATTAAGTGTCAGCGATGATGCAATGGATAGGAGTTGGATCTCCTGTAAATCTCATATGTGCTGCCTTCTTGCATGAGCAACTCCCAAAGCTAGGGAACAAGCACAGAAGGGTAATGCCATGGCTGAGTTATTTACGTATTAAAATACTTTATACTATACTTGTCCATTGAGGTAGGCGTCAGCAGCCATGATGCCATCGAATATCGATCAAGTGGAGCTGGATCGCCTATAATTCCTAGGTGTTCTGCTGCCTCTACGAACAAGTTGCAAGGTTTAATTTCTTATACCAGTAGAGTTAGTGTACTTGTACCAAGAAAATACACAGCTCGATGAAGTACCATGTGCTTCCAAGTTCATACTCTGTATGTAGTACTAAAACCCCTTCGATTCAGCCTAACCCATCGTTCGTCACTGCTGACCATAGTCTATTATTAGGAGTAAACTAAAACCCTCTTTGCCATCAATGTCTATAAAAACCCTCTGAAACCTCAAACCCAACACATCAAAATCAGCATCACTAACCAACCAAGCTGCCACCCACACACTTTCCTCCTACCAACAATGGCCGATGTGGTGCTGCTGGACTTCTGGGCGAGCCCATTCGGGCAGCGCTGCCGGATCGCGCTAGCAGAGAAGGGCGTCGCCTACGAGTACAGTGAGCAGAACCTTGAACAGAAGAGTGAGCTGCTGCTGAGATCCAACCCCGTCCACAAGAAGATCCCCGTCCTGCTCCATGGCGGCAGGCCTGTCTGCGAATCTCTCATCATCCTCACCTACATCGACGAGGCGTGGCCGGAGGTGGCGCCGCTCCTCCCCCGGGACCCCTACGCCCGCGCACAGGCGCGGTTCTGGGCTGACTACATCGACAACAAGGTATATACAATGGAACCTCGCTTTATTAAGACAACAGAGAATATAACCAAACCATGCCGCTTCATTTATCTACCTCAAAGTTGGGTTAAATTTCTCTGTACACCTAGTAACAAGCTTTCTAGTACTATTCATTTGATTTATGAACCATATGTAGCTTGCCATGAATCCAGCACATAAACTTAGCTTAACACAAGGGTGCAGGACCTATTTTTTCGATGAAAGGATGCAGGACTAACATTCCAAATGTGAAATTGTAGATCGTTGACTGTCAGACCCGCCTGTTGACGATGAAGGGGGAGGCCCAGGAGCAGGCCAAGAAAGACATGATTGGGGCGCTCAAGACCCTGGAGTCCGAGCTCGGTGATAAGGACTACTTCGGCGACGAGACGTTCGGTTTTGTGGACATCGCGTTCATGACTTTGACCCCCTGGTTTAACACCTACGAGAAGTACGGTGACTTCAGCGTCGAGGAACACTGCCCTAAGATTGTGGCCTGGGCCGCACGCTGCAGGGGGCGCGACAGCGTGGCCAAGGCACTTACTGATCCTGAGAAGGTGTATGAGATCGTCCAGGAGGAGTATGGCACCAACTGAACAAAATAATAGGTTATCTATGTAGGCATGCATGTAATCTGGTTATGTGCCGGCTGTGGCATTTATCTCCCACGTGTGTGTTCCCTTTGTCACTCAACTTGACCAAACTTTATGAAAATATACACACTATATAGAACGAAAGGGGTATGAGGTAGAAATTAAAATTATAAGCAAATTGTCATTGTCAAGATCAGCTTATTAATTTTTAATTAGTCAATCCCATTGGATTACAACACTCAGACATGCCAATGAGTGGACAACCCGTAAGTTGGGACTTCCCGTATCTTTACGGTTCTTCGACCCCGATATATTGGACATATTTAACGACACATGTGATATCCATTTGGAAGGTTCCCATTGTCTCTCTTATATGTTAAGTTAACTTTTTGTTCATTTAGACAAATAAATTGATATCTCTCATACAAACAATTAAACTTCTAAGTGAAACAAAGACACGACAAAAGAAAATTAAATCAGGGAATGAGTGCCTGACAAATAACAAAAGTGAGATTCATATACCGGGCAGTCCAGAAGTTCTCAAGCTATATAGATTTTTCATCAAAATTCACGCTTTGTGAAGTTTGACAAGTTTATAGAGAAAAAAATTACATCTACAATACCAAATAAACATAACCATTAGATACATTGTGAAACATATCTTAATTTAAATTATATTTATTTATATTATTATTATTGATATTTTCTGTATAAACCGTGTCAAACTTTATGAAACATGAATTTTGAAAAAACAAATGTGCTATATTTATGATGAAGGGAAGTATGATGTAGAAATGAGAACTTTTAAGCAAGTTGTCATTGTCAAAATCAACTAATAAATTATTAATTAATCAGTCCAATTGGATTACAACACTAAAAAAGCCAGGGGTGGGCTGTTGCGACCTCCCGTACCTTTGCGGTTCTTCGACCCCAACATATTGTATGTATCTTCTATATCTAAATAGTTAGCCCCCACTAACATGTCTCCTAACATGCAAGGATGTCACCTCACCAGCATGCATGGGAAAAAGCCAACCTCAACATGCAAAGCTGTATAATAAAAAAGCCACCTCCACATGCAAGCATGCATGCATCGAAATTCCATTATATCATG